GAAAACCAAAACAAAGGGCGGACGAGGAGGAGGAGGCCGGGATTCCGCCCAAAAAGTGACAAGAGCGGATACAGCAGTAGGCGGGGGGGGACGCTAACCTGGTGTCCCTTCTTGAGGCGCATGTCCCACTCCGCGCTCCACCGCTTGGGCACCGCCTGCGCGTTTTTGAGGGCGTCGAACCCGAGCAGGAGTTGTTCCAGGTCTTCGTCCAGCATGCGGTACGGGCGTTTTCTCGTTGGGCGGTGTCTCCAGGCGGTGAACATGCGGGAGGCCCTGTTTTTCGGGAGGGGCACAGCAGGGAACATTCCGGAACGCGGGAGCCGGGGGGGGGGGGGGTTAACTCAGTCGAGGATCGCCGAATCGTCCTCGCGAAACAATAATCTATCAAAGGCATAGAGTGACGGTGACAGGCTCAGGGAGAATAACGCTCGTTGTGCGTGACCCCCAGGCTGCAAACCTTTCGATTGGGGTGTCAAAACCCAATCGAAGGCATGCAACGCGGGCAGGTTGTTCCTAGACTCCAAGCAAAACGCGCGACCGGACCGCATGTGGACGCCTTCGAGCCATGGCAAAATGGATCCGACGAAAACCTATCAACTTCTTTCTCGAAATCCAGCGTGCACACCAAAAACTAACACACATATAGCAGAGCACATTTCAATGGTTTTGGGGTTGGGCATAAAATTGCAAAAGTACATACGAAGATCACCTACCTCTCGTAAAAGAGCGAGGTCGGATCGGTGTGGTCCTTGTGCTCCTCCATCCACTCCTTCCACTCGTCTTCCGTAAGGGTGAGCCGCTGCTTGTTGCCGGTCATCTTGTACAGCCTCCGTACGTTCATCGTAAAGCCCGCCGCGAGGATGAACAGAAGAAGGCCCACGCCGGCCATGAACGATTGAGCCTTTTTCGGCCGTTTGGGGGGGGGGGGGGGCCCAACAACCGGGAAAGGGGGGGGAAGGGTCAGGATTCCAAAATTGGGGGCGGAAAGGGGACCAAACCAAGCGGGGTTAGGGGGGTCAAACCCCCCAAAAAAAACAAAAAAAACGGCCGCAACAACGGGGACATCCACAACAGTAACAACAACACGCAACAACAACAATCACAATGAAGACGGCGACAACCAATCACAACATTAACAGGAGACGTGCAGCTTGTCTTGTCTCATCGAGGTGCCCTGCAAAAACATAAAAATAAAAAAAACGTTGAGCCCGACGACCTACTAAGTAGACGTAACTCACCCCCCACTCTTCCGGAATGATGCCGAGTTCCGAGAGCACGGGGCTAATCAGGAGAACGCCGTGCGCCAACAGCAAGCACCTTAGGAAAGGCAGCACGCATGGTCCATGGGGGTGGGGGATTAGGATGACGGCCAGAGCCGGGGCTAGGCGTGTGCACAGTCGACGATAGACCCGCAGAAGAAGAAAAATAAATTTAAAGATCATGGGGACGTTTGTTGCAAGACCAGGCAAAAAAGAAATCAGTACGTATTGCAAAGCGATCCCAACTGCCGTTATGTCGTTTGTTACGGTCACGGTGTGAGAAAAGGTGTCACGGAGCTACGCGGCGCCCGAACGAGAGGATGCGAGAAAAAGCCGCACCTCGAGCACGCTGTCGAAGCTAGGTGTTGACACAGAGATTTCTACGAGGAGAGGCGAGAGTAACGAAGAGACGAGGAGCGAGGTGGACACACACAGAAGGATAATCGAGTGGTGTGCCAGCTGGAGGAGTGGCAAATAGCGCACCTTTCCCCTCCGCGGGTAGACGGATGCGTGAAGGCTGGGTCAGTCATCACCGGGGTTGAAAAAAAGTGGTAAACTCAATAATTTGATCGAAAATCAAATCAACCTATCGTCACCTTCCGCTGTTGGAGCTCCAGGGCTTGCCGCCGGTGGTAGACAGCATGAGGGAGACCAGCATGATGTAGGTGCCCACGAAAAAGAAAACACCGATGAACGTCGCGGCCTGAGGACACGCATAGACATGGAACGTGAGAGATGGACACGGGGGAGGGGGGTCCGTACGGCGATCGGGAGGGGAAGGGAGGCATGACGTAGATGCCCCTCAAAGAAAAACACTGCGATTGACGTAGCGGCGTGAGAACACCGCTCGAGGCGGGGTAGCAAAGTACACACCGCACACAGGCATGTAACGTGAGATGGACGCGGGGGAGGGGGCTCTGTATGATGATAGGGAGGGGAGGCATGACGGTCGATGCCGACAAAGAGATTGACGTAGCGGCGTGAGAACACCATTCGAGATTCGAGAAGCGGTAGCATAAACTATACACAGACATAGGCATGAAAAGTGAGATGGCCTCAGGGCTCCGTGCAATGATGATGGGGCCAGCACACGCGACGCCTTAGGGTTAGTCTGAAACGCCAGGGACACCGCAACGCTGACACGCGAGATGGTAAAATAACGCACCAGAGCCGGCGTGTCCCACCAAAGGAGCAAGGCAGCCCCGGTTATGAAGGGCAGGAGGACGACGCTGGCCACGATCAGCACCGCCACGAACTGGGTCTGCGCCAGCACGAGCTTGATGATCATGAAGGAGAAGAAGTTGACGGAACTGCGGCGGCGCGATTACAACGAACGGAGAAAGGGAACAGCGAAAAAAATACACACCCACACGCAGCAAACATGTTAAATTAGATTGCATTTGCATTGGACGAAAGAACACAAAAAACACACGTTTGATCTATAATTAAATGCGTTGAACACAACTTTTGAGCAGGCGGGAGGTTGCATCCGATCATGGCAGCTCCCAGCTCCAGCCCTGCCAACACCTTGACAATGACGGGGACCAAGTGGTGCGGGCGCTAATTAACCTCATCTTGGCAGCTGTTTGATATAATGTCGAGCATGAACTTCTTGACTGCCAAGTCCGAAAGTGCCTGCCCTATATCAGTAGTGGCCTTCATTTTGGCCGCTTCTCAACTGCCAGTTCCTAATCGCGCGCTCTTTGTACTAGGTTCATCCTGGCCGCTCCGTTTGATACAGTAACAGCCCGGGGGTAGCCCCGGCCTCATCTGAAGCCCCTTCCTTTTTTCACCAGGGAGGGTATGTATGTTGTGGGGTCGAGTGTGATAGGAGTTGGTCGCGGTGTTCAAGTCTGGAAAAGAGAGTCAACCCATCCATGTGAAAAGGTCTTAGCCGCTCCGTGTGAAACAACGATGACCACGCAATCCTTAACCGTCAAGAGTTCTCACGCGCGGGCGCTATGCTAACCTCATCTTGGCCGCTCCCAGAGAGAGGCCGCCGAACACAACGAGCGAGTGCAGCAGCGCCATAGGCACCACGCTCTCGTAGTCCAGCTCGCCGGTTCCCAGGGCGGAGTTGGTGTAGATGCTGCTGGAGCTGCCGCTTGTGATCTGCAGGAGGAGCTCTATCAGGACGGGCATGGAGTAGTACATGCCGACGGAGTACCCGTGGAGTACCGGAGAGTCCTGCGGTTTTTTTTCCGCGGAATCGGTGTTAGAGAGAGCGTCAAGCGACAGTTACACCAAATCATACACAGTAGGAATCGGTGTGAAAGTTGAGGGGGAGGCTGCGTGCGACAGTTATACGTACCACGTAGTACTCGGAACCGGTGCGAAAAGTGTGGCGGCAGTTATGCACACACCACATACAACAGTCCTTCCTACCCACGGCTGAGCGTGTTAACGAACACGCACTTCAACGTGGAGAGATGGATCCCCTTCAAAAAGCGGTCTCATTCGTGTGTTCCCCCAAGGGCCTGTTTTGTCCTGAACAGGACGATTGATTCCTCTTTCCCTTTCTCGCTTGGCATCAACAGCACGCCACCAAATTAACTTCTTGCAAAGCGATTACTTTCCTGCGAACAATACGACGCGACACGACCTTTGGGGCCCCAGAGAGGCATCTCCTGCACACGCGTAACTTGTTGCAAAAAACACGATGCGACACGATGCGACACGATGCGACACGACACAACAAGGTACACACCTTGGGCCCCAGGAGGGTGTCGCGGAGCCTCTTCAGGCGCCCCCCGAAGCCGGTCTCCAGCCAGGTGGGGAGGTGGTCGGACTTGCCGTGCTTCACGTTGTGGAGGGTACCTAGAGACTTGCTGCGCGGGCGGCGGCGGCGGGAGGGGGGGGGGGGGGGGGGCGAACCCCTTTTTTGTTTG